TGTTCAAATTAATTGGTGGAAAAAGACGGTGTAATAAAAAACTGCAGTTTCTATTTAAGATTTTTATGTTGATCTTGACTGGACTTTTCAAGGTTATCCCAAGGTCAAATTCATAACGTCAGTAAATATTAGGAGCGCAAAAAAGTTCTGAGCCCTAGATTTCATACTACTGAAACCACAATTTAAATTGCATTAATTTTCCCGCCCTCTTGCGGTTTTAAAGCAGTGACATTTGGTCTTTCGAAACATCGTGCGATTTGGCGTTTGATGCACATAACCTTAAAATCAGCAGTGTTCACGATGGCAATAACAAAAGAGCACATTCGATTTTCCATCCACTTCGCGTTTCATCTGAAGAAAAATGCTGCTGAAGCCACTGAAATGATCTGTGTTGCATATGGAGAGAACGCTGTAAGTTATGCTACGTGTAAAAGGTGGTATCAAAAATTTCGCCAAGGAGATTTCAGTCTTGAAGATGAACCGCGTGCTGGACGCCCTCAAAAGATTGAAACGGACGAACTGCAAGCATTGTTGGATATAAACTCTGCACAAACTGAAAAGGAGCTTGCAGAGCAACTTGGCGTTACGCGACAAGCCATTTCCACACGTTTACACGTGCAATGGGAAAAGTTCAAGAGGAAGGCAGATGGGTTCCGCATGCACTGTCCGAAGACAACAAAAATCGACGGCGTGACACGGCACTCACTTTGCTTTCAAGGTTCCGGAAAAAGGATTTTCTGCACCAAATCATTATAGGTGATGAAAAGTGGATACTTTATGATAATCCGAAGCGTAAAAAATCATGGATTGACCCTGGTCAATCTTCGACATCGACGCCAAAGACCAATATCCACGCCAAGGAGATTTTGCTTTGCATATGGTGGGAATGGAAAGGTGTATTGTATTACGAGTTGTTACAGCCGGGTGAAACAGTAACGGCAGATCGCTATCAGCAACAATTGAGCAATTTGAGCGATGCGTTTGTAGAAAAGAGGCCATTTACTGGCAAAGGACGTCGTAAAGTGATACTGCTTCATGACAATGCCCGACCACATGTTGCGAAAGTGACTCAGGACCATATCTTTGCGTTAGGCTGGGAACTTCTCCCGCACGCGGCGTATAGCCCAGACATGGCGCCTTCCGATTACTACCTATTCCGATCTCTGCAGCATTTCTTGACTGATACACATTTTGTGACACTTGAAGAGATACGAAAATACATTGATGACTTTATCGCTTCGAAGCCGGTGAGCTTCTACCATCAGGGAATTCGCAAGCTGCCCGAAAGATGGCAAAAGGTCATCGATGCAAACGGGGAATATTTCGTTGATTAATATAGTTTTGTTTGTTTTTAAATAAATTTTGAATTTTGCAAAAAAGGGCTCAGAACTTTTTTGCGCTCCTAATAGATCTTTTGAAGCCCTACAACTTTTGTCTGAAATATTTTTCTCTCTAAAATGTCGCGTTAACGAAAAAATCGAACAAACCAGGTGGTTTGAAATGCCCGGTATATGTACGCGAGATAACGCGCGATTGAACGTTGAACAAAAATATGTATTTACCTGTGGCGACATGGCGGATGCAAAGGCTCGACAGATACATACACGTTGCATCTCGTACGATCGACCTCTCCTTTTCGCGATATGCGCCGAAACGGTCATGTTTTGTATTTTATATTTTAGAGACGTCCTACATACGCGGTATTCTTCTTTTTTATTTCACGTGAGTCAATAATATTACGTCAGTACTCATCGCGACGGTTTGCCGATTACCTCCGCCGGCACTGGACGTTTCAAGATTAATGTCCCGGTAAATTGTGACGAATATTTCATACGTACACACGATCGAATGTTTGCGTCTCATCTGTTTGATCGTTTGCACTTGTTTGTTACAAAAAGTTTGATCGTATGTACGTACGAAATCGTCACGAATACAAAAGTTTGATCGCCTACATTTAATCGACTCGTTTCAGTCCGCTCAATTTGTCCGTGTTCGTTACAGATATTACATTAATATGAACTATGTAACTCGCCACGTTTTTTTGGCCTTTTAGCGGAACTAATTTTGCACGGTTCGCACGTTGCGTGTCATTTGTAAGCTAAGTGCCCGATGAAGTGTATCCTTATTAAAGTTTTCATGGCTTTCCAATAAAGTGAAATACTTTAATAGGCTGATGAAAGCCAACACAGATTGATAGTTGCGCACAATTAATTTTATTAATTAACAGCGAAAGGAAGTGAGTGGTAATATTGATAGTAACACCGAAAGAAGATCGGACGAAATGGCAACCGATTATATTTTTAACACATCACGTATACAGGGTGTCCCATTTAACCTGACAAATCGTAATATCTGGAAAACTACATGTCGGATCAAAAAAAGTGGGTAATGAAATTTGTTCGTCTCGAAGGGGGACATCCAATGACATCAAACTCGACCTCCCACCCCACTCCCGGGGGGTGGGGGTGAGGGGCAACTTTGAAATATTAAATGGGAACCCCCATTTTTATTGCAGATTCGGATTCTACCACAAAATACGTAAGTTTCGTCCGAAACTTTTTTTTTTGATTCGTGATAGATGGCGCTGTAATCGCAAAAAATTAGATTTTCTGCAATTCTCCAGAAATGATCATTGGATTGAAAAATAAAAAAATACCTGTTCAATATTTTTAAAAATATTTTTAAAAAACATAATAACAGTTATTCCCTCCCCCAACCCCCTCGGGGTAGGGTGGGTGGTAACGTTCAAATCTCAAATGAAAATCCACATTTTTCATTGCAGAATTAGATTTTACGTGAAGTTTTTATGGAAACAATTTTTTTCATTCGTGATACATAGCGTTGAATAGAAACTATTGAAGTTCATTGAAGTTCAAGGTCATCATTTTGAGCATTTAATTTAATTAAATGGTGGAAGGTGAAGGAGATCACCTGAATCAAGCACCCCGATGGTGAGAGGCGAGGGGACTCACCTAAAACAAGCACCCCGAAGGGAACAGAAAGCTACTACGTCCTCGTCGTTGTTCCTGAGTAAAGCTAAATATAGTTTCTCGGAAAAATTCAACGCTATCTATCACGAATGAAAAAAATTGTTTCCATAAAAACTTCACGTAAAATTTAATTCTGCAATGAAAAATGTGGGTTCTTATTTGAGATTTGAACGTTACCACCCACCTTACCCCGAGGGGATGGAGGGGAATAACTGTTATTATGTTTTTTAAAAATATTTTTAAAAATATTGAACAGGTATTTTTTTATTTTTCAATCCAATGATCATTTCTGGAAAATTGCAGAAAATCTAATTTTTTGCGATTACAGCACTATCTATCACGAATAAAAAAAAAGTTTCGGACGAAACTTACGTATTTTGTGGCGTAGAGTCCGAATCTGCAATAAAAAATGGGGGTTCCCATTTAATATTTCAAAGTTGCCCCCCACCCCCACCCCCGGGAGTGGGGTGGGAGGTCGAGTTTGATATCATTGGATATCCCCCTTCGAGACGAACAAATTTCATTACCCACTTTTTTTGATCCGACATGTAGTTTTCCAGATATTACGATTTGTCAAGTTAAATGAGACACCCTGTATATTCTCGAAATTTCTCCTCGATGTGGCACTAACATGAATTATTGACTAACATTATTATTGACTAACATTATTGACATCGACGAAATTGCGTCAGCCCGTTGAAATGCTTCGCTTGAAAGAATTAATTAAAATGAGAAGAAAGTGTTAATTATTTATTACATTACTTGCTGAGCCATTCTCGCGGTCGATCTTACCGATCGTGCATGTTATTGTTAATATAAGCGGAAAAATCTCCCAGATTTGCTGATACTTCCGTTTGTCGCGCAGCTACGTCGCTATGCAAATTGGCATCTCGACGACCTTCACGGTCGAAAGATCGTGTACCAGGTTTACATACATAACGGCACCTGTGGCGGCACCTTTGTAACAAAAGCGGGCTTCGCCGTAGCTACGCGCTCCTTTCCGTCTTCTTCGTTTTCCTTTTAGCCGTCCCCGTTTAGGACGCGCGCATCCAAAAAAAAAGTGGGCCGCACAACAACGGCTCTTCGATCTTGGCGCAGCCGAGATCATCACAGTCGTACAAATCATAGATCGCAAATTCTCGCCCAATCCTCGGCCGGATAGCTAAATCGCAAACTTGTTAGACGTTTGCTTTTGCGTGTGCGATATTTCAACGTCGAGGACATGCTCGCGAGATTTCTCGTGTTGCGCGTTAACGGGGTCTCATCATGTCGCGTGTGCAAGAAGGTATCAGAATTGGGTAAGTTGATTTTCTTTTTTAAACTAAGTTTTAAACTAAGTTAACATTAATAACTCACAAATTAACTAAGTTTACGTTAAAAGCTACTCAAACGACTAACTCGATTGTCTTAAAAAAAGTCAAATTAACTTATTAAAGTTAAAAGTTAATTGTGCGCTAAGCTATATGTTTTTTTATAATTTTTAAAATATTTTATAATTTTTATAATTGGACTTTTAAATGTACATTAAATTTAGGTGAGAATAAAATGGTGGCTTTATAAAAAAAAAGATAGTGTATTTTTCATCTTTTAACAATATACATTATTTAAAAAGTACAATAGTTGTAATAAAGAAATTAGAGTGTTTAAGAACAAAATGCTCAATTGAGAATAATGAAAAACAATGAAGGGCAAAATGCTCGTATGCAGATGGAGCAAATCAAACTGAACGGGAAAATTCTGTACCATTTTGCGAATTATAAAATAGTTATTGAGAAATCAATTAAACAATGTTAGCAAATCAGTAGGCGAGAAGCGAGAAAAGGGGAGAGAGCTCTGTAGACAAGGTCTTATCCAAAATGGTTTGAATTTTTTGATAATCTATTGGCAACAACAAGCAGTGATACTATTGCACAATAATCGCACAACTCCAATGTCTATCATTATAAACTGTTCGCCTTTGCGAAGGAAATCATCAAAACAGATTCGAGTCATTCTGAGCCAGACTTTGTTCGCAGAGATCAGCCCGCCGCATCATGCGCACACGTTTGCTAATAATACGTTAAAATACACTGTCTAATTCTGCACTGTTAATTCCTTGATGAATATCGTGGACCATTTTCACACGACTTTAATATTGTCACGTCATATTATCAAACGGAAAGAAATCTTTGGTACGTGGATCTTAAAACAGAAAAAACTTAACTAATAAAACCAGTAAAAATATTAAAACATGATTTCAAGCATCTTTTATAATTATACATATATATACAGTTTGTTTGATAAGAACCTGTCCGACAAAATTTTTATATGGAAACCGCTAGACAGAAAATTTCAGCAGGAGCTGGTAGAGACAATTTCACTAAGATGCTTTGTACAGAAAGTTTCAAATGTTGTTCGACTTTTGTGATAAAAAGACATTTCGTTATGTGTGTCACATATGCATCGCGATTTGATGCCGTGTTTTTCTATCCGAAAGGACCAAAAATATCGCGCTTAACTGCCGCTAAGTATATAAAAAAGTCCAATGTAACAAATTGAAACAACACTTATGGAAGAACTCTCTACGTTCTCTCAAAATCTATAATGTTGGATAATATGACGTGACAAATTTATGATTGAATTATTTCGACTTGCGACTTGAAAAAAAGTCAATAAGTTAACGATAATGCGTTCAGAAATATCTAGTTCAAAATTCAAAAAATTGCGGATTAACAAAGTGAGGTTAAAGGTCGTTATAACCTTTCAATCTTTTAATTTAACTTTAAACTGGTTAACCCTACTGCTCAACCCTAATCTCAAGCAGAAGCTGAAGGATAATATTACGCGAGATTTATACATTGATAGAGACATGTGGGACAGATAAGCGTAAACGGTATTACATTGTACAGACGATATTACGTAAGAACAGACATGGATTGGCATTTCGACGAGATTTATATCGCGAAGAATGCAAGATGACGTCGTATATTCGACATTGTAGAGGGAAAATCACCGTAAAACGCGGTAACTTCGCGGTTGTGCATTCACAAGTCATGAGCGATTAACGCGAACTTATTGCTCTTTCAGTTTGCCATTCGAGATGTTCGCGGGGATGCCGTCCGTCTCCATTTTCGTCGTCGCTACTGCACTTGTCGGCTTCTTCTTACTGTACGCGTTGTAATAAAATTCCACAAATAATACGAGCATGAAAACATATTGCGGCAGCAACACCAGCGCTATCCATCGCGGGTAACCGCAATCCGTCCACAGTAATTGGGAAATGTGATACGCCAATATAAAGAATTGCAGTATTTGTAGTTGAGTGATGTACTTCTTCCACGGTTTCGTGTCTATTTTCATGGACGACAGCAGATAATGCGTGTACATTATCATGTGGACGAATGTGTTGATCACTCCTGAAATAAAATATTAACGATCAATAAATAGAGGCGCGAAATGTAAGTTCTTATAATTGCGTGTTATATAACTGTTGTTGAGTTGAAGGGACACTTTGTTGAGAAATAAGTTTCATTTAGCTTACACACACACACACAAATGTTTTTTTTCTTAGTCAAGTCGGAAATTTTCCAATCTGTCCTCGTATGTTAGTCGAAGAGCTAGCTGTTGATTGCCTCGCACCACTTGCCTCTTGGGCTTAATAATATAAAGATCTTAATATTTCGCGACTACATTTATCACTGCAATTATACGTACCTATAAATGTACAGTGACCACCGGGATAATATTTAGTGCCAACCCAAGTAATCATTACCATGCCAAAGTGGTGATAAACGTGAAGGAAGCTCACTTGACTTTGTTTCTTTCTAAGTACAAAAAAAAATGTGTTCAACAGATCTACGACCTTCAGCATGAAGTAACACCAAACCCCTCTGGCGATCTATTAAGTGGACAAAATATGTATTGTGGTATCATTCAATGATTTTCCTTCTTTTCTCTTATTTTGATACGAAGTGCAAAAAAATTAAGGTGTCCTATGCTATGATACAACTTTATAGTATAGCTATAGTATATAACTATGATATAATTTTATAGTATACTAAATATCGTCTTATTTACAAAACATAAAATCATTTACAAACATGCAGATTCCGCACAGATAATATTGATAAAGGAAGAGTAGAGGGGGGGGGGGAGAGAGAGAGAGAGAGAGAGAGAGAGAGAGAGAGAGAGAGAGATGAAGTAAGAAACGAAGTGAGAGACGATGTAATATCGTATTAATTTATATATATGTAATTAATTAGTTAAGCTTTTACATTTACCTGTATTGCATTTGATGTGTACGAGGGATCGACAGGTTCGCAATTAAAGCTATATCCCCTTAACCACGCCAAATTTAATGTCTGTATGAATATAAAACGTAATTCTTCCTAAACGTTTCTAGACTAGCAACATTTTGCTTGCTTCATTCACACAACAAAACGACCAATTTAAAACAATTCAGATATACAATGTTAAATATTATATCTAGAAGCATTTTTTTATTAAAGTGCACTAAAAAGTTAACGAAATTTACAATGTTTTCGAAATTATTAAATATATATGATTAAAAGTATTATCTTATTAAAATTATTGGATTTTTAATATTTTCTGTAAAATCGAGTAATTTAATAATTAACCCATTTACATCCGCAAGCGGAATAATAATTCGCACATAATAATTGTCACTTATCATCAGCCGCAGAATATTACGCCAGCCACGACGTTCACTTATTATTCACACATCACACTTATTCATTATTATTAATCGCGGAATAATATGCTTATGACGACGTTCAGTTTCCGCCAATGATGTACGGTGATATTCAATGACAGGCCTACTGTTAGTTGAATGTCTCCGATTTCTAAAGTTAGTTGCGTATTTAGAGCTGTGATGCAAATGGGTTAAGTGACAGAAATGTCTTTTTTTATCTTTACTCTTTGGTAAGAAATCAAGAGTTAAACGATTACTTGAATACACAACTGGGCTTACCAAATAAAATAAGTACATGTTAAATATAATTTGTAAGACATTATATATTTGTAATATTCTGTCCAACTTGTAGGGTTCCCTCTTTTCCATAAACTTCGGCAAAAGAAAGCAAGTGCTATACACATAGATTATAGCCAAAAGTGGGAGCCGCCATAGTGTCTCAATCAGAAAGAAATCTTTGGTACGTGGATCTTAAAACAGAAAAAACTTAACTAATAAAACCAGTAAAAATATTAAAACATGATTTCAAGCATCTTTTATAATTATACATATATATACAGTTTGTTTGATAAGAACCTGTCAGACAAAATTTTTATATAGAAACCGCTAGACAGAAAATTTCAGCAGGAGCTGGTAGAGACAATTTCACTAAGATGCTTTGTACAGAAAGTTTCAAATGTTGTTCGACTTTTGTGATAAAAAGACATTTCGTTATGTGTGTCACATATGCATCGCGATTTGATGCCGTGTTTTTCTATCCGAAAGGACCAAAAATATAGCGCTTAACTGCCGCTAAGTATATAAAAAAGTCCAATGTAACAAATTGAAACAACACTTATGGAAGAACTCTCTACGTTCTCTCAAAATCTATAATGTTGGATAATATGACGTGATAAATTAAATGATGCGATATATTTCTAGTTTTCCCTTGCGCCAAATTCATTCAATATTACTTTGCCGTAATTAAAAGTATATATTACGCCTATATAGAGTGTCCGGCGATTAATGACACAACGTTCGTCTAGGAGCGTGTTAAATTAAACAGCAGGCTAAAGTCCACTGTAAATGGACTGTAAATGTTTTGTAAATTTCACAATAGCTTTAAGGAATTCGTTGACACTACACAACTATCGACATTCTTTAATTAATTCTTTAAAACTATGGCGGAATCTTTTACACAGAGAACTCTCCACAGAGATGTTGTTTAGCTTGATGTGCTCTACTTGTATGTGATGTACTTATACACGAGTATTATATCATCAGTATTATGTGGTCAGAGATATATTCTGATTTCGTTGGATTAAAATGCGCGCTCATCTGTGGTGTGCGCGACAAAGCAAACATGGCGCGTTTATCAATATTAGCATGAAAAATAACAAGATACTGTAAATACGGTCTTGTAATTTTAACGGCCGCGAATTTCTCTACCTCATAGTGTGTTTTTCTGATGAGTTTTGAACGTGATAGATAGGAGACGATTCATTACCTTTTAATAATGCACGTTACGACTCTTTGCGGCGAATAACTCAATGGATTATGAATGAAAACGAAAAACTCTTTATTGTACGCGTAAGTCTATCAATATAAGTTTCTCATCAAATTAGGAACAATAAGGTTCAATGGCCAAAGTACGAGTAAACACAACATAATACAATGTAAAATACCAACCTACTAAATGGTCGTTTAGAAACAAATATCCGTTGATCACTTCGTTTAGAACTGCAGTCATGACGAGAATCGTATATCGTTTACAATTTTTTTGTTATAAAATTCGTGCGCCTACTTAGTTCTTCCGTTTTGATATCGGTGGACAATTTTGATGAAACTTGTCTTCTCTCTGGCTCCTTTACTCCACTTTTTTCGCTTTTTCTTTGTCTTTTTTATTTCTTGCTTGATCCAAGCACCTGTTCCTCTAATCGTTTTCCGAAACAGTTATCTTAAATCATGTTTATCTTCGTTGGAGAAGTATTGACTTTCTTTTCTTGCTGATACTGATTCTCTCTGTCACGACCAGTCACTGCGAAATCCTCCGCGCAACTGCCGGACAAGTTTTCTCTAATCAAATTTCCATTTCTATTTCAATTGTATTGTAATGAGAAGTACGTTGTGTATATACGCAAATACATCCCACGTAAGTTGTTACATAGATGTTGCCTTCCGGGTAATATTGACCTCTCAGATTATTCAACCTGTCCATGACGGTGAAAAAATGTCGAATAATCAATTATTATACCTATACGAAAGTGCGTTGTCTGTCGATCAAATTAGCAAGTCTAATAGTCGAAGAATTCCAATACAGTCTCTTATTGCAGAAAATAGCGACGTTGAGTCGATTCGATGAATACATTTCGTCGAAGTACTTTTAAACAAAAAGGAGAAGGAAAAAAAGGAAAAAAGCAATTTTGCTTCAGTCAAAAAATAGGCTATATTCTATATAATATTCTATATAATGTAAACGTAATAAATATTTTCCACATTTAGTAAATTTCCATATGTACGTTTTAAAATATATATAGCTATTATAAAGTAAAGATTGACTAATTATTTCGATATAATATATTGCAATATTATCAACAAACATTTATTGTTAAACGTGTACTCAAGAAGTGAAGAACAAGGAACAAAAGAAACAATTGCTCCAATAAAAAAGTACACATTCTATGCAGCAGCCAATGTAATAAATATTTCCCACATTTCGTGATATATATGTGAGTTGTTTGATAAGTTTCAAGTCTGGACATGAAGATAATATTATTGGGTGAAAACTGTTGTAAGATGTGAGAGCTACGTTTTTTCAATAACTGCTCCGAAATGTCCAGCCATTTGCTTAGTTGTGTTTTAACAGTCAGTTGTAGTATACATGTCAGTATATTTTTTTAATGATGTAAAAAAATCAAATATCATTCCGTAATTAAATTTATCTAAAATTTGAATCTAAAAAGGAAAACCACAAGAGAAATCGAAACCGAGTTGGATTTTATTTACGGTGACTTTACTGCTAATAGTGTAATTCTGATTTTATTAGCTTAAAATGCGCACTCGGTGACGTGTGTGGCAAAGCAAACACGATGCATTTATCAATATTTGCATGAAAAATAATAAGCTACTGTAAATACGGTCTGTTTTAATTTTAACGGTCGCTGTTTAAATTTTTTCTTCCTTGCTGTGTGTTCTTTTCAAAGAGTTTTAGACGTCATAGATAGCAGACGACTCATTACTTTTTAATGATGTACGTCACTTCGCGGCGAACAATACAATGGATCGTGAATGAAAACGAAAGACTCTTTATTGTAAGTGTAAATCGAATTCGAACTGTTAGCTTACCAATCAGGCGATTATTACCCTACTAATATGATTCTTTATGTGATATGCGAAAGTCTATCAATATAAGTTTGTCATCGAATCAGGTACGATGAAGGCCGACAGAACGCCCTTCCTTTGATCATTCCGTTTATAACCGCTGTCATGATGAAAACCGAATAGTTTATAATTCTCATGTTATAATCTTTGTACGTTTCATTAGCTCTCTTTCTTTGTCTTTCTTTGTCTTTTATTTCTTCCTTGGTTCAAGTATCTGCACCTCTAATTGCTCCTCCCAAAAGTTATCTAAAAACACAATGTTTGTTGTTCGAAAAGCATTTTCTTTCTTCACTGATTCTCTTCGACACGAAATTGATTTTTTTTTTGCCGATTCTTTTCAATAGTCGCTGCGAAATTCTATAAGCAACTGCCAGACAAATTTCTCCTAAACAAATCTCCATTTTTATTTCATTGTATTATAATGAGAAGAAAATTATATATATATATACTAACACGTGCCACAAAAATTGTTATATAACTACTTGCGCCTTGCGAGGAATGTTGACCTCTCAGATAACTTAACCCGTCCATGAAAAAATATTGAATATTCAACAGTTATTATACCTATAGAAGACGTACGTCACGTTTTCTATCACTCAACTTTGCAAGTTCAATAGTTCAAGAATTCCAACGCAGTTCTTTGTAGCAGAAAATAATGATGTTATGTCACTTCAATGAAGTTCTTTTAAATAAAATGAAAAGGAAAAAGAGAGAGAAAAAAAAGCAATTACTTAAGAAGAAGAAATATAATAATTAAGGAGCAAATTATATTCTGCATAGTAATCAACGTAATATTTTCCACATTTAGTGAGTTTCCATATGTATGTTTCGGAAAGTGTAGCTATTACAATGTAAAGATTGACTAATTACTTTGGCGTAATGTATCGCAATATTCCCAACAAGCATATATTACACGTGCATTCAAGATGTGAAAAATAAGGAACAAAAAGAACATTGCCTTCATCAAGAAGCACACATTCTATTAGATTTTGTTTGTGCATAAATTTCTAGGATTTTTTCGGCGACTTAATTTATGTATTGTATACAGGGTGTTATAAAAGTCCCGGTAAAAGAGTAGAATAACTCGAAAAATATGAGTCCTAGGAAAAATACGAAGCATTAAGTTTTTATTATTTTTTCCTGGCTATCTGACAGTGACCTTGGATTTGACCTTGACAATGACCTTGAAGGTCATTTCAAGGTCAGGTCAATTTTTTTTAAGAGGACTCCATACTTTTGACCCCAGAAATGAAAAGAGCGGAAAATTTTACGTTCGGATATGACCTTGAACACTGCCAAATTTGACCTCTGAAGGTCACATAAAAGTCTAAGCTTGTTTTATGCTGAAAACGCGAATATCTTCGAAAATGCACCTGCTAGGGAGCAATGTTACGCATAAGAATAAGAATGTAGAGGTCAACGAGGGACATTCAGCCGTGACCTTGCCCTTATTCTCAAGGTCATGAGTTAAGATTATTATTAAGGTCAAACCGGACTTTTTTAGGACTGAAAATCCATACTTTTGACCGAAAAGTGTCAAGATTGAAAAATTTTACGTTCGGATATGACGTTTTCAACCTTGACCTTGTTCTTAAGGTTATGTGTCAGTCATATCAAGGTCAATTAATTCTTTTAGGCTGGAAACACATACTTTTACCCCTCCATAATGTGAAGAGTGAGATTTGCACACTCCGATTGCTGGTAATTCCTCAATATCGGGCGCCATTTTGAATCGGTCATCTTGAATTTGGAAAATCCAACGTCGGATTCGATTTCAGAAACGACTTCAAAAACTCCTTAAACGAGATCCAATTTTTGTTATTCTTAAATATCGGCCGCTATCTTGAATCGGTCATCTTGAATTTGCAAAATCCGACGTCGGATTCGGTTTTAGCGAGCTCAAAAATCCCAGGATCGGTATCCGAAAAATTTATTCGCCATCGATAAAGTGTATGCTTCAAGGTTTTTATTTGTCCCGATTCTATCAGTGTCAAACAGATAATAGATTGTTTTTGAGTTTTCATCGATTTAACAAGTTTTGATGTCATTCTAGTCCGTTTTGAATTATTATCATATTATTATTAACGATCAATGGTACATTACTTATTATTTTTATTTAAAGGTAAAGAAACCGAATTTTTTATACCAAATTTTTGCAAATTTTTTGTTTTCAATTCCAAATGGCTTTTCTTACAGAGCATGAGAGAGTTTCGCTATTGATGATGAGAGGATAGGGGGATAGACAAAGGTCATACAGTGAAGTGAGATTGCTGTTCAATGAAAACTTTCGTAATGAAGGCGAAGGTATTTCAATATCGACTGTATCTCGCACCATCAGACGATTTGTAGAAACTGGGAGTAATAAAAACCGCCAAAAATCTGGAAGGCCAAGGTCTCAAACGACAGAAGAGCGACAATTTGAAATAACCCAATCATTTGTTGAAAATCCCAGATTGTCCATTAGAAAAGCATCTCAACAGCTTCAAATGAGTGTATTGTCAATTTCCAAAAAAAGCATCTTTTGAAATTACTGGTAAGGTAAACCGTCATAATTTTAGATATTGGGACAACGAAAATCCTCATTGGATGTTTGAAGCATATGCAGTGACCTCAAAAATTGAATGTTTGGTCAAGTCTTTATGATAATCAAATGGTTGGGCCTTTTTTTATAAATGGGAATTTGAACTCAGAAACCTATCTGCAGCTTCTAACAGACCAAATAGTTCCATCAATACAGGAGATTGTTGGTGATAATTTTGATGATGTTTGGTTCCAGCAAGATGGGGCACCGCCACATTATGGACGCATTGTTCGGAACTATTTAAACGATACCTTCCCTAATCGATGGATAGGTAGAAGAGGAACAATCGAATGGCCACCGAGATCGCCCGACATTGCACCACTTGATTTCTTACTTTGGGGCTACATAAAAAATAAAGTTTATTTCACTAAACCTCGTAACCTGGATGAGCTTCAACAACGGATCATAGACGAATGTGCTGCAATACCTCCATAAATGATAAGGAGTGCGACTGACAATTTGTACGTCCGCTTAGCACACTGTCAAACGGTCAATGGGGAACATTTTAAACATCTTTTGTAATCTCAGGCCGAGTTACAAGATGCTTTGCCTTCGGTGGCCGGGACTAACTGAACCTTGCCTTCAGTGGTCGGGTTTGAGATACCTTGCCTTCAGTGGTCGGGTTTGAGACACCTTGCCTTCAGTGGTCGGGTTTGAGACACCTTGCCTTCAGTGGTCGGGTGTGAGACACCTTGCCTTAAGTGGCCGGGTTTGAGACATCTTGCCTTCAGTGGTCGGGTTTGAGACACCTTGCCTTCAGTGGTCGGGTTCCAAGAAGCTTTACTTTCAATAGACTTCACGATCAGTGAAGTAACGTAAAACGCATAATTTTGAGAACAAGGTCAAGGTTGAAAACGTCATATCTAAATGTAAAATTTTTCAATCTTGACACTTTTAGGTCAAAAGTATGGATTTTCAGTCCTAAAAAAGTCCGGTTTGACCTTAATAATAATCTTAACTCATGATCTTGAGAATAAGGGCAAGGTCACGGCTGAATGTCCCTCGTTGACCTCTACATTCTTATTCTTATGCGTAACATTGCTCCCTAGCAGGTGCATTTTCGAAGATATTCGCGTTTTCAGCCTAAA